TTTGCTATTTGAATCATGTTTCATGTATATGCAATAGCAAATTTACTTATTAGATCTTTTGCATTCAACATACACGACTGATTTCGTAACTTTTTTTTTTTTTTTTTTTTTTTTTTTTTTTTTTTTATTACTATCAAAGGAAAACAAGAATAAATAACAGGGAATAAGAAACGACTTTGTATGGTGTTGATTTAATAATAGAAGAAAAAATTTGTAAGGAAGGGGGGGGAGAGCCAGTTAGAGTTAGAAAATACAACAAAAAAAAAAGGAATAAACAAAATTGAAATAATTATAATTAATGATAATTTTAAATTAATATTATATTATTATTAATAATTACATTTTATCATGATAAAATTAATATATTATTATTATTATTTTTTTATATTATAATAATTATATATATATATAATTATTAGGGCCGACGATACATGTAAAATAAAAAAAATAGAATGGAATTTTTATTTTGTTTTTGTTTTTTTTTTTCATAAATAGTTAGTTTACCATCTTAAAAATATTCCTGTAAATGTTTCGAATGAAATTCGTATTATTTATCGTTTAAAAATTAATTTAAGTACATAGCCTTAACTCGGCGCTAAACGCGAACGCTAAACTTTGAACTGGGTTTTTCTCGAAACGTCTTTTTTTCAAACTGTGCTGTAAAGATAAGACAAAAAGGTTTCAACTAATTTTTATGAAATTTAGCACACATTTTCTTGATAGTATTATCTTCTAGTTGAACTTTACAAATGCCATAAAAATATTCCAGAACTGTCATTTTTGATTCAAGAACCGTTAAAAAATCAGACTTTTTTTTGTCTGAGTCGTGGCAATTAACGATTTTTTTTTTTTTGACTTTTGACTTTTTACTTTTTACTTTTTTCTTCGTTCAACTAAAAGATACATGTTTTATGAACACGCTCCGACCAGTTTTTTTTAAATTTTAGATTGCTCTAATCAAAGCTAAAAATCATCATGATTGATGACGCGTTTCGCCGCGAGGGCCTCAGGAGATTAGTTACTATGGCGTCCATTTTGCAAAAAAAAAAGACCCCCAAAAAAAAAATCATATTCTTATATTTTAATATGTAATGAATTAAACATGCTGAATTTCAAAATGATTAATTTATACCTTCTATTTTGAAATATGTCTCTGAAAAAAACGATCAAAATTTACGCGTTTACACGTGTCGCCAGCCATAAATATTATAAATATAAATAAATGTTATTATAATAAAATTAATCTAATATATTATTATTTAATATTGCAAATAGAAAATGAGTTAATTAATTTGTACACTTTTGTTGATTTTTTTTTGTTTTTTGAAAGCTTACCTTTTGCAATTGGCACTTCGTAACACAAGTTTTCAAATTCAATGTAAAAACTCGACGACACATTACAACTGTCAGATTTCAAGTACTGATTTTCTTCGTAATTTTTATCGTTTATCATTACAACACAATTATCATCGTTTATTATCTCATTCATGTTCATATTGTCATTATTACACGTGTCATCCATATTTTTGTTGTTGTTAAGAAAAAAAAAAAGAAAAAATTAAAAAAACAGTACAAACTTTACATATACGTTTTTACACACTTGTTTTATCGTAAACAAATTTTTGTTTGTTTTGGTTTTTTTTTGGTTTTTAATGGAGAAAATATTAATAAATTGATATTTAATTTATTATTATTATTATTTGATATTAATTTTATTTTATAAATATTTAAATATATTAAAACAATATAAATTCTTTTGTTATATTATATGTTTAATTATTTTACGTTTCTTTATCGTACAGACGTTGTTTTTGTTTTTTGTTTTTAAATGAAGAAGTATTAATTTTTTTTTTCTTTCTTTTTTCTTTACATATATGTTAATACTTTGACACTTGTTGATCGTATAAAACGTCTTTTGTAATTTTTTTTTTTTTTATTTAAAAAAATATGAATATATTTCTTTTTTCTTATTAAATTTGTCACAAAATTTTTTTAGTTTCAAGTATTATTTTTTTTTCTTCTTTTTGAAAAAAAGAATAAAGCGAAAAATCGCGTAACTTAAAAAATGTTAATTATATTCGCGAGAAATAAAATCAACTATAAAAAAAAAATTCTCTTTTACACGTGTGAACTTTGATATTAAGGAAATTACGATGATAGTGTTAATCAATAGACAAACTTTTCCACGAATTAATTTAAAAAAAAAACACACACACACAGAGAGACACATACACATACACAAACACAAAGAAATTTTCTGATAGAATAAATAGAAAGAAAAAAAAAGAGAAAAAAAAAAACAACAGAAGTCAGAAATTCAACGACAAAACGATTGGATGTTGAATGCAGAAAAGAAACTTGTTCGTTCCTTTCTCTATTCTCTTATACTGTACATCAGTGGTTCCCAAAGTGGGTGATATCGCCCCCTTGTGGACGATTAAATGATTCAGAGGGGGCCGATGATAACCACAGACACATTTGCAACGCATGAGGAAGTCCGATGAATTTTCTTTCAGGGGATGATGAGTAATATTTTTTTCTGAATAGGGGATGATAGGATAAACACGTTTAAGAACCACTGTTGTATATGAGATACACTTATATACATTTTTTTTACTTTTACTTTAATATGGTGTTTGCAGATTCCTCAGATTCGTATTTTCACCGCGCAGATTTTACGAGGCGCCACTGTATAGGATATACACAATAATCGTTCACTTGAATAACAATAAAATAAATATATATTAATTAAACAATTATTTATTTAAACAAAGATTAAAAAAACAAGAAAATAACACGTGTTCATCGAGTGATTATTATTAATGAACAATTTATCACGTATTATGCATTAATTTATTTTTCTTTTCTTATTTTTTTTTAACAAAATGATAACAAATGACCTTTTTACAACACACATGAGAAACATTCAAATACGAATAAATCCGATGTGAATATTATTATTAAATAATATTTTTATTTATAAATATTTAATATACACGAGAGAGAGAGAGAGAGAGAGAGAGTAACGTTTGGAAGACGCATGGATTTCTGTATCTCAACACTACAATGGATTAACTGTGACACTTAAATTACTACTTCAATTAAATGACGTATGTGTTATCATGATCTGTAAAAGTGTGAGTATGAGAGAGGTGATGAAAGTGGGAGAGACCAATCGTATAATAAACGTACAACTATATACAACCGGAATTACGCTTTGTTTTTTTATTTTTTTGTTCTAATCTTTTTATCTCCAAGTATCTTTTTTTTTTTTGTGGATAACGGACCCAATACAACTAAATGTAATGATGTATATGTTTGTATTAACGTATAGGATTTATCTCATTTTTAGATTATACTACATTGTTTTGACTATTATTATTATTATTATTATTATTATTTTTATTATTATACATTCTTATAATACTTATCTAAGAAACAATTCGAGATAATTAAAATGGGTTAAGCATATGATACGTTTTCAAAATTATAAATTCATTTTTTTTTTTTTTTAATAATTAATAATAAATTTATTTTAATAATTAAATAATAATAATTTTAATGTAAATTTAATATTTCTAATAAATATATTATAAAAATATTAATAATAATTCCTTTTATTATTAATTTTCATTCAAATTTTCATTTAATTTTTCTTACCACGTGTCTCACTCGTGACGTACATTTTTAGCTAATTTTTTGTATCACGTGTCTTCAGACGATGTTGTAGAACCTAGAGATTGATTATTAACATCTTTTGATACCCAAAATCGAATACAGTAGGATTTGTTTAAAAAGACTTACGTTAAACAATGCACAAAACAGGCTGTTTATGGGTTTTTGAAGAATAAAACGATTGAACAATTGATTAACTTCTTTTCCTACGTTTAAATTTCATGATTTGAATAAGTATACACTTCAAAGTTGTGATTCTAGTGTTTGGTCAATTTTTCTTACCACGTGTCTCACTCGTGACGTTCATTTTTAGCTAATTTTTTGTATCACGTGTCTTCAGACGATGTTGTAGGACCTAAAGATTGATTGTTAACATGTTTTAATACCTAAAATTGAATACAGTAGGATTTGTTTAAAAAGACCTATGTTAAATAATGGACAAAACAAGCTGTTTGATGATGATATTGACGATGATGATGATGATAATGATGATAATAATCCCTAGTAGCACAAAATATTGAATACATGATCAATATATGATGATCAAAGACATTGAATCTCTTTTTAATATTAAATTCACATGTATTCAATATATTTCAATATTTTGTGCTACTAGGGACGATTATGATGATCATGATAATGATGATGATGATGATGATGATGATGATGTTGGATATTTTTATTGTTGTTATCTTTTTAAATTTCAATAAATTAGATTCAATAGATTCAATAGATTTCAATAAATGAGACGTTTATTTTAAAAGTTTAACCTTTATATAATCATAATATTAATTAATATATTATTAATATATAATTATTTTTTATATTAATATATTATTATATGTTTTGTATGCAATGTTTTGTGTGATGTCAACGATTAAGTCAACCGAAACAAATAAAAAGTAGTAACTTATAGATTTTACGATGTCACAGTTCAAGATGAATTATATATTGTAAAAAGAAAGAAAGAAAGAAAAAAAAAAAAGCTAAAATAACAAAAAAGAAGTAACAACAAGTTCAAAGAACAAATTTATAAAAATAGATTTAGATTTTTATTATTCTTACGTATTATGATATTATGTTTTATCGCAAAATTGTAAATGAATAATTAAATATATTAATAAACTAAGCTCGAGAATTACACAATTTAGAATATATTTGCATATAATTAATAGATTATAATAATAAATAGAAAAAAAATGATCGTAACTGTACAATAGAAATTCAAACCATACTCGAAATATTACATTAAAAAAAAAAAAAAACCAAAGATTTATAATTGATCGTTGTAATTGTAAAAAAAAAAAAAAAAAAGAAAAAGAATGGGGGTGGGGAGGAAAAAAAAAGAACAAATTAAAAGATTCGATTAAACAAAGTTCACGAATTTTGGGAAAGATTTGAAATATGAGAAAATTTATGTTCGGCACAGCTGTGTCTCTCGTGAATATATGCGTTACTAGATGCTATGCAACTGAAGATTATATTTTTAAACATTACTCGTTGGCAAAGTATTTTACCTTAGTAAAATAATATCACCTCTACTATTAAATTTAACAACGTATATGAAATATTTGTTTTTTTTTTTTTTTTATTTATTTATTTATTGAGCCTTTTTCTTATCATCGTTGACTTTAATTACAAAATCATTTATGTTAAAATAATAATAATAATATTGTTAACGTTGTGAATAAAATAAGAGTTAAAAGACAAACTAGTGACGATCAGCTGCTTATCTGAAATGAGCAAATTATTTTTTCCTTATCTTTTTTTTTTTTTTTTTTACGTCTTAAAATATTCTGTTGTTTTAAAAGATATCATTCTATTATTCTAGAATTATTTATTACAAGATATCATTACTATATATATATATATAATTATTCAATCATAAAATGGTAATATAATGTTTTTCAATAAAATTATTTTATTTTATTTTATTTCGTTTTATTTAATTTAATTTTATTTTATTTTATTTTATTTTATTTTATTTTATTTTATTTTATTTTATTTTATTTTATTTTGTTTTATTTNTTATTTTATTTTATTTTATTTTATTTTATTTTATTTTATTTTATTTTATTTTGTTTTATTTTATTTTATTTTATTTTTTTTATTTTTTTAAATATAATAATTCTATTTTTTTTCATTTTTTTTTGCATTTAATTATGTTATTATATATTATATTTTTTTATTTTTTTATTTATTTTATTTTATTATATTTTATTTTTTTTTTTGAATATAATAATTTTATTATTATTTTTTTTTTTTGAATATAATTACGTTATTATATATTTTTTTTTAATTTTTTTATTTATTTTTTATTTTTTTTGAATATTATTATGTTATTATATTTTATTTCTGTTTTATTTTTTTGAATATAATTACGTTATTATCTTTTATTATTATTATTATTTTTTTTTTAATATATATTATATTATTTTATTTTATTTTATTTTTTTCAATATAAGTATTTCATTATATTTCATTATATTTCATTTTATTTCATTTTATTATATCTCATTTGATTTTATTTTAATTAATTTTATTTTATTAACACTGGAACACTTATTATACATTTAATATTATCGATTTAAAATATACGATATTATATTAAGAAACGTATAAAAAGGGGTTTTAATCTTAATAACCAAAAAAAAAAGGGATTTCTTGTCAAGGCATATTTAAAAAAAAAAAAAAAAACCCCCCAGAAATAAAGAAAACGACGAAGTGGATCCCAAATAATTTAGTGAGTGAATGAGTGCTGTAGTAACGACTACTTGAGTCGAAAATAACTTTTGACCTATATATCATAAAAAAAAAAAGATTAAAAAAGAAGGAAATTATCCGGAATAAAAGAACGGTCCTTTCCCATTCTGTGATCAAAAGATGATTTGAATTTTTTCGAAAATTATTTTTTTTTTTAATCTTTTTTCAATACATTCCCATTCTACTTATACTATTTATCAAACGTCAAACATGCTGTATAATTTAAAAAAAAAAAACAGAAAAAAGATAATAATAATAATGAAAAAAAAAAAAAATGAAAAGACGGGGGAAATAAAAAACTACGTCGGATAAATGCGTAGACGAATTAATTTAAAAAAAAAAAAAAAAAACATTTTCCTAACGGAAAATAATGTCAAAGAGAACAATGCGCGAGCGCGCGAATTTCCGTTAAATAATTTAAACGTTCTTTTTACTCACGTCAAGAGTAACAAATGCATTTTACATAAATAATTAGCTGATTCATCGTTACGAAGGTGATTAAAGAAAATCATTCATAAGTATTGTGTATACATATATATATATATATATATCAAATTATCACCTAGGAATAATGTAAAAATATAAATGCCGCACGTCGTCGATTATTCGATCGGAAATTTAAATTCCCTTGTCGTGGATGATTCATTTTAATAGAATTCTTACGACGAAAAGTATTAATTTTAAATGATATTTATTTAAAAAAAAAAAAAAAAAAAATCAAATTACTCATTGAAAATTTATGCTGATGGAAATTGGGATCAGGGGGAGGGTGGGGAGGAGGATTGAAACGGGAAGGGGATGGTGGGATTGAAAATAAACTCAATTGAAATTTCAAAATAAATAATAATAAAAATTCAATGTAACGTGTTGTCGTATGTCACGCGAATTCTTAGAGAAAATTCTTGTCCAGGCCGCAGGCTTTACTTTGTATTGAAAATATTCGAACGTGTCAGTCATTAATGACTGACGTGGCGTAAATGGAAAGTCTAGTGTCAGTCATTTGTGACTGACGTGGCGCTCAATCTGTTAAAAGGAAAAACGATCCAACGAGGTTATGTTTTCATGCTTATTTTTTCTTTTTTTTTTCTTTTTTTTTTTTTTTATAAATCAAGTTCAGTTGGAAGACGGCTAAACAAATGGAAAATCACAAACTATCGAGGACAATCAAGCAGACGAGTTTATTCGTTTATTTTATTTGTTTTTTAATTTTTTTTTTTACAATAACAACGTAGTTTCGTGTCATTGTAAACGTTATTTTATTTATGTAATTATTTAATCGTTCAAAAATTACAAACTGTACTAATTTGTTTATTAAATTGTTCAAACATTGTTAGCTATACTAATTTGTATATTTAATTGTTCAAAAATTGTTAACTGCACTAATTTGTAAGGTGTTGCAACGTAAATTTCGTTGTTTTTGTTTCGTGTTTTTTTTTTTTTTTTATTCAAATAGAACAAAACAAAAATTACAGACAATCATTGATATTAGTAGAAATAATATTTCGCTAATTGTTTAACAAATTCATTTTGTTGATAATAATTGTTGAAACAAATTATACAATATTACATCCCACGCCCTCTACTCCATCCATTTAAATGATATCAAACAATTTGATGATTTATTGAACGCATATGGAAATAAAGAAAAACACATTAAGGAAATGTTGAAATCTATTTTTATTTTCTCATTATTGTTCAACCTTTGAATGAAGATCATATTATAATGAATAACACTCATAGATTATAACCAACACTGATATATCAAACCTTAACACTAACCTCATTTTCAAGATCATGGTTTTCTTCCAGTGCTTCCTTTATTTTCTCACAATTGTTTGACCATTGAATAAACATATTATAACGAAACGAATAACACCCATAGATTATAATCAACACTAATATAATATCAAACCTTAACCTTAACCTTATTTTCAAGCTCATTGTTTTTTTTTTCCAATACTTTTTTTAGTTTTTTCAGAATTGTTGAATAAACATATTATAACTAAATGAATAAAACCCATAGATTATAACTAAAATGAATATAACAAATCTCAACCCTAACCTCATTTTCAAGATCATGGTTTTTTTTCCAGTGCCTTGTTTATTTTCTCACAATTGTTTGACCATCAACTAAACATAGCATAGCTACATAAATAAAACCCATAGATTAAACCAACACTATGAAATCTCAACTTTAACCTCATTTTCAAGATCATTGTTTTATTTGAATAAGAATAAAATCATTGTTAAAATAAAACTCATGTATGATAAATTATTATTATTATTATTATTATTATTTTCAAGTTTTCTTTTAGTAAGAATGAAACCATTGTTAATAGAAAATTCATGGATGATAAATTAGAAATTACGCAAAGTAACCATACTGTGGTATCTTTTCAAACATATAGAATATATAAGAATATCATCGTCATCATCGTTGATCCAGATTGTGTTGTACCAGACGCATGTGCTAACACACAAATGTTACTATTAATAAATCCAGAAATTCAGTGAGTTGTTTCTACGTACGAAGAACGTTTTTCATGCTTTTGGCCCAGAAGAAAATCATTTGGAGGAAAGTCTTTTTAAAGATGGATCGACTCATTCCACAAATGAATAAGCGTCTAATATTAGAGACAGTTTTGAAAATCGTGGAAAACGAGAGATTGAGAGAGAATCGGAATCATCGTAAAAGTACGGCATCAATAAAAAGCAACGGATATTAAAACTTGTAGTTTCCAACCATCCACACCTCAACACCCCCCTGAACCCTCTCTCACCCTGACCCACCCCCACTTTCAATCTCCCACATTTCTAAACTTTTCAGATTATCTTCGTTTCTCAGTTTTGTTGAAAGTAGTAGAGGTAGGGTTTGTATTAAAAGAGAACCCACCACTACCACCACCCACCCAACCACCCACTACGGTTGGACAGATTCTTCCAAGGCGTGGGCTGGCATCATCATCATCATCATCATCTATTGCGTGTTCAACACCCGCCGGTTTTATATAAGTAGGACCGTCGATTTACCACGACAGTTCAGTTTACTGAAAAGAAATATCACGAAAGGATGGCCCTAGAACGTCAAGTCCGCGCTAAGGTACTTTCTTATTGTAATTCTTCTTATTACGTGGGAGAATAGAAAATAAAACGAATAGAAGAGAAGAAACAGGACAGGACAGGCTGGGGAAGGGAGGAGGGGGGGGCTTGAAAGAAAGAGAAAATAATATGTATTAAAAGTTAACCACGAAATTGCTACTACGATCGGGATGCAATAGTGATGAAGATCGCGATAATCCTTAAAACATTAAGGAACGTGCCCCGAATCAAATCTTGGCCAAATGGAATAGAATTATTCAATGGGGAAAATCTTTAGATCGATGTGTGGTGTCAGAGTTTTACGTCAGACATTTATTTTTCTCCTTTTTTTTTTTTTTTTTACATTTTCTTTTCTCTTTTGGAAAATCGTTAACGCGAACATAACCTAACTAATCTACAGATTAATCGATTTTCTTTTGGAATCACAACAGTTTTATACGTTTTATCTAGGTAATGTAGACATTAAAACGGTATCGTTACTATTTCAAATTATTTAATAACAAATTCATTTGATTATTTATAATTTTCGAAAAATTTCAGAATATTTTTACATCGAACATTAATCTTTGATATCCTAAATAGGGTTTACGAAATATGTGAAAATCAAGTTTCTGTGTAATTCAAAGTGTCATCAATTTTTCTATAGCATTAATAATTGTCGATAATTATATTGCAAATTCATTTTATTAATAATAATATTAGAATTTAATTAATATATATATATATATATATATTAATAATTAATTAATAATATTAATATTTGAAATCGTTTGATTCTTTGCGTTATAGTTTTTTTTTTATTCTTTTAATTAATTATTGAAATATATCGAAAAAAAATAAAATAAAATAAATAATATTATATTAATAATAAAATATACAGAAACGTTGCTGTTGTTTTCCAAAAAAAAAAAAACATATTTGTTGTTCATATTAATAAATATTTAATAAATTATTGTACAAATTATTGTATGTAATTTGACATTTTAACGATATAACATTTTTTTATTATTTCCCTTTTTGATTTGATTGAATTGAAAATAAAATAAAATGTTCATTCTCAAAGAAAAGTGCATTTCAATGGGGAACAATGATGAAGTTTATTAAAGATTATGATTTTTCTAATTAGATCGCAGCCAAACGTAATCCCGAACAAGAACGGGAAGCTCAGGAATGGATCGAAAGTGTTCTTGGAAAAAAATTTCCACCTGGTGAATCATTCGAGGATGTTTTAAAGGACGGTCAAGTTCTTTGTCATTTGATGAACAAAATTTCACCTGGATCTATTCAAAAGATCAACACTTCTGGCGGACAATTTAAAATGATGGAAAATATCAATCTGTAAGCAATAAGATCGTCAAAATGATTCACAACAATTTTGTATTGAAACAATTCAATTTTATATTTTAATTTTGTTTTGAATTTTTTCTTTTTTTTTTTTAATTGAATTGCTTTTTTTTTATCGATAGATTCCAAAAAGCACTTAAGGAATATGGTGTGGATGACGTTGATGTCTTCCAAACGGTCGATCTATGGGAGAAAAAAGATATAGCTCAAGTTATCACAACTTTATTTGCCCTTGGTCGTACGGTATGTTATCTTGATAGATTATATTTCAATTTTTTTTTTTTTTTTTGAATTATTTTATATTTATTTATCTAATAGAAATTATATATATATCATTTTTTTGTTTACTTCTAATTTTATATATTTTCCAATTATTTTATTTAACCATTTTTTTTATTGTTTCTATTTTTCTATTTTTTTTATTTTTTTTTATTTTTTTTATTTTTTTTATATTTTTTTTTCTTATTTTATTTTTTTTTCTTATTTTTTTATTTTTTTTTATTTTTTTTTTATTTTTTTTTATTATTTTATTTTTTTATTTTTTTTATTATTTTATTTTATCCAATAGAAATTATATTAAATTTATATTTTTATTTTTTTATTACCTTATTTAATTTTTTATCTTATTATATATTTTTCATATATTTGATTATTTTATCTTCTAATTAATCTTATTCATCTATTCAATATAAAAATTCATTTAAATGTTTTATGTATGTATATATATATATATATAGACTTACAAACACCCAGAATGGAAGGGACCTTATTTAGGACCTAAACCATCAGAAGAATGCAAACGTGAATTTACGGAAGAACAATTACGTGCCGGTGAATCTGTGATTGGTCTGCAAGCTGGTTCAAACAAAGGTGCTACACAGTCTGGCCAAAGTATCGGTGCCACTCGTAAAATCCTCCTTGGAAAATAAATATATTAATAATTATAATTAAACACAAAAGCAGACACTCTCATTTGTATTTTATATTTATGTAAATATACATGTAAATTATATTTGTGTATGAATTATTATTATTATTATTTTTTTTTTTTTTTTAAACTGAGATATAATTTTATCAATAATTATATAATTAAAACGTGTGTGTTGGAGTGTTTTTTATTTTTTTTTTTCTATTTTTTTTAATCCCTTTTTAAACTTACTTCTAATCGCTCTCGTAACCTACATTTACCTTTGGGGTTCCTTTCGGAGGGACGCGCCAAAGAATTTTGGGGGACAGGAACTTATCTAGTCACGTGATTGCGCGCGAATTAATCAAACATTTTAAATAGTATAAAAGTTGTATATAGTAATAGTGAATAGTGTAGGAGGGGGTAGAGTGGTGAATTGGTTTGACAAAATTATGAAATAATGAATTGCATGAAATACAGAAAACAAAAATGAACCATATTTAATGATAATTAACAAATTTATAATTAAAATAGAATAGGTTAGACACAAAAAATTATTATAAATTCAAAAAGAAAGATTCAATGAAGTTTGATTTGATAAAAGGGCATTACAGTATTTTGAAATTTCAAAACAACTTGTAGAAATTTATACAATTTTCATAAATACAATTATCTACTATATATAGATTACATTTACAAATTATTTTAATCATTCGTACAAATTTGTTTTTAATTTCTAAATATTAATAAATCAGCTAGAATTCCTGAATATTATATCTCCATAACTAACCACAGCCGTTATTTATACATACTAAAGATAAACATGGCTGCGCGTTGCATCGGAAGTTGTCCCAGAAAATTTTCAGCCAATAGCAACCCCAGCAATATTTATGGCGCGTCCCTCCTACAGGGGGTCTCTAATCTCTATTAGGGACCCTATAGGAGGGACGCGCCATGTACATTGCTGGGGGACAGGAACTTGTGTAGTCACGTGATTGCGCGCGAATTATTCAAACATTTGAGTCTGTAAACAAACGATAAGTTATAAGTTAGGTTTGTACATTTATACTTGTAATTATTAAATAAGTAAATGAAATTTACATTTATAGAAAACTACTAAAAAAAAAAAAAACAAATAAATATAAATATTACAATAAAATATCATGTGTGCACAAATCACACGTGTTAGAAGTGAAACCTTGAAAAAACTAAGTTTCGATAGAATGAGATGAATGCAGAATATCAGGTGTAGGATAATTATAGGGTTTATTTGTTATAATATTATTATTATAATATTGTTACCATATTYAAAAATKATTTTACRTTTATTGGYATATAATACATAACATATTACACAATCCTATATGTTTGTCTCTTTTTCTCTCATTATTTAGTATAGCAGCCGTTTCATAGCTTCGTTTCATAGCTTCGTTTCATTTCTTCGTTACATAGCTCCGTTTCCGTTTATTTACTTTTCAGATCA